CACATATATATTTATATATACACACACACAGCGGGGCTACGCTGTTTGGAGGTTGTCGTTTTGTTGTTCTATTTTTTAACCTTTTTTTCAAATCTCTGGCTTTCTACACATTTATCCTGATGTATTTTCCAGCTTCACTGCCCAGCCCTTATGCTTGGTCACTTCTAAAATGATCCGGTGTTATATATCTATCTACCTCCAGCAACGACTGCAGCTAAACTATTCCAGTAGCTGTCGATGAGTCCTCACCATCCTGTGTGCAGATCTTAGATGTTGCTGGATATCCTCACATGAACTGCCCACTCCAGCTCCCTCCACAACATTTCTGCTGGATAAAGATTCGAAACATCAAGCCTGACTCACTTTCTCCTGAGAGTCGCTTTACACACAGACATACAGGCATTTTCCTCACCGGCTGTAGACTTAAGCCGGCCGTCGGTCATGCATTTTATGTGGCGTTCAGCTCCCCTCCCGCCTTTTATGTGTTACTGTTTTTAAAATTCACTTCACTGCGGGAAATGACGGCAACCTCTGGACGGCAACTTACTACTTTTTGATTCATAGAGATTAGTCTCGGGAGTTTTAGGAGATCAACCAACGCCTGGAGTGGGACGCTGTGCTGAGATGATCACATGTGAGGTTAGAGAGATAACTTTGTGTTTAATCCTGGGTTGTGAGGCTTCAACACTGGTCCGCTTCTTAATGAGCTACATGACTGCTGCACACCTAACCTGCTCGGAGTTTTTCGATTTCAGAGCCATTTAATTTCTCTGAAGGCCTCTGCGTAGCCGTATGAATACCAATAAAATCCTAAAGGCAGAGACAGACACTGAATGAAACACTAAAGCCTGATTCCATTTGACCTTCTAAGATTTGCAGTAAGCCTACTTCCCAGTTTTTTTTTTTTTGCGTTTAATCTTTGCGTGCTCCCAAGACTGTTTTCACACTTCCAGGGATGTAACCCAAAGAATAAAACTACAAGTGTCTCACATACCAAAAGAAGAATACATCTAAGCAGCAAATGGAGTTAATGGAATACACAGCTGTAGTCATGGTCAGATCCACTCGTGCCCTGAAGACGGGGCAGTGATACTGAAATGAACCAAGCATTAACACGGTCCTTTCTGCTTTAGCTGCAGCAGTAGTGTTACCCTGTATCCTCATATTGATTTAGTCTTATCTATGTGGGTGATAATTCGGTGCCCTTTTTATGTGAATGAAGTGAAGGTTCAGAAACCGTGATTTGACTTAACAACTTGATCATCAGCTTTGTTTGGCCGCTTCACGTGACTGCACTTGTTAGGCTCAATTAAGCCAGATAACTAAAACCTATCCTGGGTTTGATAAACCTGCTTCATAATACATGCCTCAGATTATCTAAACCAGTGGTTCTCAAACTTTTTGAGCCACAACCCCCAAGATAACATAAGTTTGTGTTCGTGACCCCCCAAATTGAATTTTTAATATATCATGAATAGTAACTTTGTTATTCATCCATGAATGGGTTAAAAACTAATGTGTTAATTCCACAGATTAATATCTTTACATTAATTTTCTTTTAAATAAATGAATGAATGAATGAATTGAACTTATTTCAAACACATGAAAGGGAAAAAAATATTTTAAAAAAACAATACAAAATAATTTTAAAGAGAGCAAAAAGGAATAATAATATCACATAATCAAATCATAATATTAACAAGTTTGAAAAAGGAGTGGGAAGAAGCACACACTTTTAATTTTGACAGCCCTAATACAAATTAATTTGATAAATGTAGGCTTTATTTATTTATTTATTTTTACAATGATCTGGTGACCCCCAATTTGAGAACCACTGATCTAAACCATGATTGAGATTTCTTTCGGGGGCAAAATGTCTTTAGGATGCAACTGTTGTGCAGTTGAGATCGGAGCAGGAAGTGGGTCTCTAACAGACAAACTACATCATACCAAATGCTTTCAGCCTTTTTTAAAAAAAATTTCTAATAAGTCTGACAAACCTGGAGGGTTGTTTGTCGTCGTTCTAAACATCTGGCTGCTTGTGTTTCTTGACTGCTCACAGTTTAATACAATTCCATGACTCAGCTTCGCGAGAACTCTAAAAAGTTTTCGTTTATTCTGGCCTCAGCATTTCACATGGACTGTGTGGAAAATGTTACGAGCCTCCTTGCAGCTTTGTGTTTCTGTAAAGCATATTAGTTAACACTTTGTCAAGTCAAAGTCCTCAGTCAGACACGAGAACGTTCCTTTTTGATTGCATCTAGTTGACCTGAATGAGAGATTTTTTGTTGTTGATTTGGTCATAAAACATCATTATCCTTAAAGACGTCTTGTGTTTCAGCTGTCCAACCACAATCTACTCTCATGACATTCATGCTTTTTGAATCCCTGCACAATCACCGTCCTTTTGTCAGAGGAACATGTTAATCGGATTTGCTACACAGGCTGCAGAAAAGTCATCATTTTTGTACTGACACTGTTATAATCAAAAAGCTTAATCTCTGATTCAGATAAATATTTCATGTGTAAAATTAAGCTTGAAAATACGGCCAAGAAAGAGAAAGAAATCCAGGCATTCCTGCAGTGCTGAGGGGACACATTATTCCTTTGTAAAATAACTCCTATCTTTATGACATTTAAGGCCAATGGTGTCATAAATATTTATGAAAACGAGCCCGGTTATAAATCCGGAGAACAAATGACTCGCAGGATTTCTGTTGCCTGTAAAGCTGCACTTATATATGCAGCATTCTAAATTGTATGAATTCTGTTAGAACAGTTGCTCAAAAATGGCCCCAGAGATCACTGGTAATTGTCTTTGGGGAGCCGGAGTGTGAGAGTGAAGCTCAGATAACACTCAGAAAAACGCTGTTCTCTAGACGTACCGTACAGCTAAACAAAAACACAATGGAGGGGACGAGGGCCCGGCTCCAGCCTCCACACTCATGGAGTCCGTGGTGTAAAGTGCACGAGGGCTTAAGGCTGTCGCACTTCCAAAACGTCAATTGTATGAAGGCTCTGATGCAGACTTGGCAGCGTTGTTATGTGGCCTTTCTGTGAGTCTGCATATCTACAGACTTTCCTGAGTAGTTCATTGTGAAATTGGTTGTCCTGCCCCACAAATGTTACCAAAGCCAAGCAGGTATGGAACAGAAGGTGAGACATGAGATGCTTCACCTCCTCTAACAGACTAATCTGTAACTGCTGATCTTGGTATAATGAACATCCTGTATTTGATTTAAATACCGTTTTAAGTAAATCCGATCAAACCAAACAGTAAACCAGTGATCAGCGAATCCAAGGAACACTTTGGGACGGTTTGGTCGTCTATAAATTTGTTAGGTCTTCACCTCATAATGTGCTATGAGATGCCATGTTGTGAATTGGCGCTATTTAAATAAAATTGAATTGAAAAGAATTGTAAAAAAAAAAAAAAAAGCATCTACTGCTGCTGATCATGAAAGATTTTTTTCAATCAAGCAAGGATTCCTCATATCATTCTTTTTACTGAACTCATTCCAATGAGTTCATACAATAGAAAGACTTGAGGAAAAGTGACTTGAGGTGTGATACTTTCAGAGGTAAAGTTTGAGCTTTCTAGGGTCCTAGAATTTGAGGTACTACATCAGCATCAACTTTCTCTAAACAGTTCTGGCATTTAACCAGTTTGGTACGATTCAAACAAACTCTTCGTATCTTAGTCTGTTTGGTTAAGTTGATTGAAGCTGCTGTGACCTGACAAACACATCTCTGTAAGGACCAAACCTCAGAGACCTGGAACTATTTTAATACTTGATGCAGTTTACTTGTGGTGTAAAATCACTGTAGACCAACCATGAGGTTTGGTGGTAGCAGATGTGACTTTAGCATGAGTTCAAAAATGGGACTACTATTACGTCATCATTTGAAAGCTCAAAGCTTCTTGATTCATTTTTAGATACCAATGCCACAGTAACAAGAGCATGTATGCAAAAAAACCAAGGACATTTTTTTTTCTCATTGATCTTGAACATCTTAATATTAGATATATAATACTAATCAGAAAGGCCGATGCTCATATCCAGTACCTGAATCCTCCAGTCTTAGAAACTCATACCTCCAGGTCATCATCTCGTTCTAAAGCTACACTCCTACAACCCCAGTGAAGCTTCAGTGCCACAGTAATGTTCCTTCACAGTCCTAGAATCCCGTCTAACCCTGTCATGACTCAGTCCTACACTTCAGGATCCTGGTCAAGTTTCAGAGCCTCTTGGGGATTATCCAGTCTGGCACCCCGACACCTGCCTGTTGTGGAACAGTCTTGCTTGCCTTTCAGAACACACTCCTATTAATATCTTAGAAGTTTGCTTCACATTAGTCAAAAAAAAAAAACTTCTCAGAGACCCACTTTGCCATTTGGGAAATCTGCTCATCAGACCTACAGATAGATGAGGGAACAGATCTCAGAGTGGACGCAGGGAAACCCGCATGAAAACCTCAATCAAACTTTTACATGTTCTTGTGGAGAGAATTAAACTGCGTAGCTGCAGATGTGTGGTCACACCAGCCACATTTAATATGAAACACACAGCTCTGATGTGGAAGGCTCTCAGCTGAGGGTCTGCATGTAGGCACTGCACCCGGTTGTTGCTCGGTGTTTGCCCTGCGCCTGGTTTCAAAGGTTGTAATTGGGGTCTAGGGAGATGGGGAGAGGTACTGTTGCTGGAGAGCATTGGCCCCTCTTGGTTTGGACTTTGATTTTGTAATCTGGGCTTTTCTGGAAGGTGTCCTATTTTAATTGAGAGATATTGTACCATCTGTTCTCCTACTGGATTTTGAACCTACCTGGGTTTATAAAACTACTAAGAAGCATTTCTCCGTCATGTCTTAAACAAACATGTTAGAACACAGAGCAGGATTTCATGTGTAATCATGCTTTAGGTGGATAATATTAATGCTAAACATCACAGAAACATCAAACTCTGAAATCCACACCACCAGCTTCACCCAGGATCACTTACTGTGGCTGTGCCGGTGACTGTCTGACTGCCGGAGTCTGACCCACTTTGCTCGCTGTGGCTTTGTGAGGACTGGTACATGTTGAGTGGATGCTCGCTGACGGAGGCCTGGACTGCGGTGTAGTCCTGCGGTGCTGCTGGGTGCTGATGTGGATGTGTGTGGGAGTGTGGATGTGGATGGGGATGTGAAGCTGTGAATTCAGCTGGAATACCGTTCTGGGGAGGGGGGGCAAACTGGGCTGACTGGTAAGCCTGGGCCATTGATGGGTCCGGGGGTGCTGGTGTGTCCTGGTTACCCTGTGTGGGCAAAGAAAGGCACTTTTTAATTCATAAGAACACTTTAACATTCCAACATTGGAGATTTTTCATTACATTCCTTCTCCTAACATCACATTTAGATCATACTGTGTTGGTTTTATTTTTTTCTAGTGGCGAGGCTCTAGACACAGGAAGGTGAGTGAGTCAGACCCTCTGGATAAATATCATCACAATTATGCAGATAAATTACTATTAAATTCACTAAAAATGTTCAAACATGACCAGTGATCCTCTGATTTTGTCCAGTACCACCAGCTGGTTGATAGTTTTTAGTGAAATGTCTCGAAATGGTCGAAATTAGAAATTAAAGTGATGGAAGTTTGATGTGGTCATTAATCCTTTGAGCCCTCGTTATTGTTTTAAAATTCCAACAAAAAAACACATTTAAAATCCGTCAGTAACAGCTCCACATCTGTGTAAAACAACTACGTATCACTGACACTTGCAGAATTTCTCGTATTGCTTGATTTATGCTCCTGTGTTGAATCTACACTGGAGCCGATGCAGGAGGCCTGGTTCATTGTCAACATTCATTCTTGTCTCCAGCAAAATCTGTTAAACGCTGCAGTGAAAGCACTACCAGGAACAATAGGGCGAGATCATATTTCTCACATATTAGCTCCTTCAAGAAAATAAAGAAGAGAATTTATGTTTTTGATTACACACAAAGTGCTTTTTGACCAAGCTCCAGACCTCATAGCACCTTATTATCCCACCAGAGCACTCTCAGGCTCACTTTTGGATTCTTGAGTATTCAAAAGCAGAATGAGAGGCAGGGCCTTTAACTATCAGGCTCCTCTCCTGTGGAACTAATTCCCTTTTTGGCTTCAGGTGGTAGTCACCCTCGCTGACGCCATGGGCATTGTGTTACTTGCACAATCTAGCACTGAAAACCAAACAGGCAGGTGCTTCAGACTTGGCACAGAGGCTATCTATCAAAACCAGAGTTTCTGTGACAGCTCAGGCAGTGTGAAGGGCATTGAATAATATCAACATCTATAGACGGAGTCAAAGAAAAGAAAAGAAAAAATACGAAAGTTTTCTAAGGAACATGGAGAGAATCCTGATGAAAACAGGGAGAATGTTCCTGGTCAGATGACACCAACAGTGGATGCATAGTCTCAGCAGTGAAGCACAGACATAGCGGTGGGATGATATGGGGCTGCATGAGTGCAAATGGTGATGGAAAAGCGGCATTTATAAATGGCATCATGGAGGTGGCTACCTGGCTGACAAGATGAGTTACAGTCTGTAGGGTGGCAGAAGAGGAATATTACAGCATGATAATGATCCCAAGTACGCTGCCAGAATCACATGGGAGTATCTAATGAAGAACAAACTATAACCTGGCCAATATGGCTTCATCCATCCATCCATCCATCCATCCATCCATCCACCCACCCACTCGTCCATCCATCCATCCATCCATCCATCTGTCCAACCCTCTGTCCATCCATCCATCCACCCATCCATCCACATATCATCCATCCATCCATCCATCCATCCACATATCATCCATCCATCCATCCATCCATCCATCCATCCATCCATATATCATCCATCCATGCACCCACCCACCCATCCATCCATCCACCCATCCATCCATCCGTCCACCCATCCATCCATCCATCCATCCACTCTTAATGTCCTGTGATCTTTAAAACACATGTCTTATTATACTTATTATTTATTACAGGTCTTCTGGGAAAATGACAAAATCTGCTGGGTCAAAAATATACACATAGATACATTTAGTTCCTATTTCTGTTGTGATTATAGCGATGAGTCAGACACTTATTGAGCCTATTGTAGAAATTCTCAACTGCAACTGAAGCATCCGTTTTAGTAATGGGTAGAAGCAGACGGCCTCTCCGGTTCTTCAGCGAGTGAGCCGTGCTTGGCAACCTTCAATAAATAGCACGGGCAGCATTTTAATAACACACACGGCCTGGTGTGGGTAAAAGGGATCGGAGCGGAGGGGGTTAATTTTCCCGGAGGACAAATGTTGTTGTTTTTGTTAAGCCCCTGACATTTTTGCAAATGTCAGCAAAAGAAACATCACAATCTACTAAGAAATCTGTTATGAAACTTACTGAGCCCATTAATGCTGCCCAGAGGGCTAAATTTTTCCATGAGCTTTCCTTTGGCACAGGACAAATTTTATATGTTTTTCACATTCTCACTGCTGGCAAGACTTTAACAGATTATTCTTCATTGCAACCAAAACCTTCAGATTGTGGACATTGAAGCATCTAGAAGCATCTATCTTATTTAATCCATAATTATCTTACAGTATCAGAGTACAACGTTTACAACACACATGCTGCGTATATACCGAGAATACGTCATTTTCATCTCAATAAAGTGGAATAATCATGTTGTACTCAGTGTCAACAGTAGATATCTAATGAGCATGTAGTTGTTTTAACGGTCTGTTCTTCACTCAGAGCTCTCTACTTCTTACCGTGATGATTCTGTTAAACTCTGTTGTGTTTTTTTGCAGCACACACACACGCACACGTACGCACACTGGTCAACTCCACGTCGAGGAAACGTACTTGAAAAGCTGTCCTGCGTAATAAGGACCAATTTATCCATCAATGAGACAGCAGGGATATCCGCTGGATCGTAAAGAGCACTCTACATCACAGACGCACCAACCTAATGGCAGCCACACACACACACACACACACACACACACACACACACACATAATATACTCAAACACAAGTGAAACGTGTGTGTGTGTGTAAATGCTGTCGGTTTTCCAGCACAAAAAGCACAATTGGATCTCTTTTCCAATTTTGTTTAATAATTCCAGTTCTCTAAGATTTTCCATTTGGATTCTTTGAGGGACGGTTGGCAGGAGTTACAACATTAATATCCTGCTTTTACATTATAATAATAATAATCTAATGATATGATATAATGTGTTATCATAGAACAGCCACAGGAGAGGGAAGAAAGGTGGAGACGTATACGACTGGGTTTAGTGTTGGGAAGCAAGTCTCCTCTGATTTGTGACAAAAGTACCAGTATTGTGCTGCAGTTCCTGTAAAGTATTGCCACTAACAGTCAGGTCTCATCTCTATGGCCTAACCCTTATAGATGAGACAATGACCAAACTCTGCATGAAAAGGCTTCAGGTATCAAACACAGAGTTGTATTGCTGTGAGGCAACTGTGCTAACCACTGTACCACTGTGCCGCCCCAGTTTGGTGACATCCATCCATCCATCCATCCATCCATCCATCCATCCATCATCTAACCATTATGTTTTTGGACCTTGTGGGAGGAAGCTGGAGAACCCGGAGAGAACCTACAATGCACGGGGAGAGCATGCAAATTCCACGCATAAAGATCCTGGGTGTCCTCACTGGGACGCGAACTGGTGACCTTCTTGCTGTGAGGCAATGGTACTAACCGCCGATCCACCTTGCAGAGTTTGGCAACATTCATATTCAAATAAATAACTAAAAGTTATCAAAGAACCACCTCTTCCCATCTCATCCTGTCAATTATAAAGCTACAAACGAGCACTTCAACAGCAAAATAAGAAGTAGAGCTCATACTGCCGCGACACACTATGTTTGTTGACTAGTTTGCTGCACGTACAGGTAGAAATGCACAGGCCTAATCACATGTAGTTAACCAGATACAGACTGCAGGTTAATATGGGGACTTGTCATGTGGGCCCCCTGGTTTAAAGGAAACAACTACTAAACACTGACATGTGAGAAATGAAGCCAGTGTATCTCATATATTCCAGTATTAAGATGCTCTAAACAGCACCAACAATCTCAGGTTCTGATGACCAAAACCCTCAGTAATGAGCTCAGATGGAAGCTATAAAGAGTCTGTGATAAATGCTGAGCCTGGTTTCAGCCGACTGATTCACAAAAAGGGACAATATGTAAGATTTCGATTGAACAGCCCTTCAACAGAGGGGCGCAGAATACCACCAGATAATAGTTGTTTGTCTCCATCCCTATGGATCCACACAATTATACCTAACAATGACCTGTTATAAAATAAATAAATAAATAAATAAATAAATAAAAGCCAACTCCTAACTACCAGCAGAATATAAAAAAGTAAAGCCTGTCAAGGTAACATTGTTATCTAAGCATCCTGCATGGCATCAGCTGGACTTTACATGATATTTACTAAGCTATGATCTTAGCAAGGCCTCAGCACCATGAAACGACCGTTGAGTGTGTCATCATGGCTGCATGAAAGATCTGTTTAGAAGAGCCAAGGTCACTGTGGCTGGTTTGTTTGCTCGTAGTCGCACTCAGCCGGCTCATTCTGTAGAACATCATAGTCGGGCTGCATCGTTCTGCTACAGGAGGGGAAACATGGTCAATCGACAGTCGTCTTGGGCAGAACTAAGCGAAGGATACAGCTTCAGGTTTCCCTCAAAACAGGTGGACTTGTTGTGGTGGAGCATTTACGCGCAGGGAGATCAACAATGTCATTAAAATGAATAATTCACAAAAAAAAAAAAAAAAAAGACCTACAGCTTAACTGCACAATCCAAACTTCTGACAAAAGAATGTAGGATAAATATTTTAAAAACTATATTTTTGCAATTTAATTCAAGAAAGAAAGAAATTCTCCCCTGGAGGTAATTCAAGGCCAGTAGAGCAGTTGGACACTAAGGGATGGCAACAGTACAGTACTAAGTATATTAATAGGTGCAGCTATGTGGTAGTTAAAATAGGAAAAAATAAATAAAAATGGAATATGCTGAGACAAGAAAAAGTAAAAATATCATATTGACAACAAATCCTTTACACAAGGTGCTAAAATGGTTCATGGTAAATAAGGAAGAGAATTACAGTATTATGGATTTTTAAAATAGTTTGTACAACTTCCACAAACATTGTCACACTCTAGAAGATATTTCACTGAATTAACTAAATACAACTTTCTTGACTGTATTTTTCTTGATCAAGTTTGTTTTATTTTCCTCCAAT